GGCCCATCCCCTGCCAGCCCTGCCACAGCCAGGGACACCTTCCAACAACCCCTGGGCTCAGGCAGGGCCATTTAGAGCTTCAGTTCTAGTTTTCCTTCAGATAATTTCATTTTACAAAGCATATGACTGCTCTCTCAATGAGCTCTATGACAAACCAGCCCCTGTGCTCAGAGACACATCCTGGGGACTTGACTAAAACGGACTAAAGCAAATTGACTTGATGTCACTTTAAAATTGACTAAAGCAGTGTTCAATCGACTCCTAAAGATCCTGCAGGAGTCTCCTGATCCCTGCTTTGTACAAAATAAACACCTGTGCTGATGCAAAGGAGAGAAGAGTCAGAATCAGCTTTCAAACTCGTGCAGCAAATGACCCTTTTATCGAAATCCTGCTGCCCCTGCTGGTGCCACTTGTGTTCAGGAACAAAATCCTGCAAACTCTAACATCTCCAATTTTATATTTGGATTAAAAATGCTACTTTGAGGACAACTTGTAACTCCTGCTGCACTTTCAAGGGGAAAACAAGAACTGAGAGGCTGAGACACCTCACTCCATGAAGCAAACAAGCCCCTGCTCATGGAAATAGCTGGAGAACATTTGTGTGCACACAACACCCTAGAGTTAAACACAGTGCATGCAGGTAAGAAAGAGGATTTTAAAATTCCTGAAGTAAAACCACTCTCAGCTCTATCCTGGAATCATGCTCTTGGATCATGACTCTGCTCACAGAATCCCAGACTGGGCTGGGGAGGAACCTTAAAGCTCATCTTGTTCCAAGCCCTGCCATGGGCTGGGACACCTCCCACTGGAATTATTCTTGTTGGCAAAGTCAAACCCAACTTTGGAGCTGATGAAGAATCAGTATTTCTGTCTAGTCAGAGCTGCCAGCATTGGAGTCAGGATCACAGAGGGCTGGAAAGGAGCTGAGCAGAAACCAGGTGCATTTCAGAGGTCCCATGAATTGTAAGTGACACCATAACTGAAGGATTGTGTTGTGGTGAATTTAAGCAACTCAGCCCAACTTAGACAGAACATCCCTTGTGGAACTTCAGTTGTGTCAGACAATCCTTCTCACTTCCTACTGAGACACAGATTTCCCTCTGAAGGGTCATTCCATATTCCTGTCACAGCCTCTGGAGCTGCGGCTGCCCTGTGCTCCAGGAGCTTTCCATGGCCAGAGCTTCCTAAAGCCAGGCCTAGAAAAGCTGCACCTTCAGGCCATGCCCTGATGTGTGATCCATTAAAAACATCCTGTACTCCATGAATTGGGAAAGTGTGAGCTGTGAACAGGTTAATCTGTGCCCAAAGGCAGCGTTCAGCTCATTCTGATGCCTCAGATAGCAGAAAACCTGCACAAACTCACCAAGTGGAGGGGACAAATCCCTACAGAATAGCCCTGAGCAGGTGAGTTTGGATCTGAGGGAAGGTGGGGAGGTCTGGCAGAGACAGCCCTGCCCAGGAGGGCCAAGAAGGGAGAACCCAAACAGGGCACTGCCCCTTGGTGTGAATGAAGCCATGGGCAGTTCCTGCCTGCTGCTCCTGAATTCACACAGTTATGGAATCAGCCTGCTTTGGGTTGGGAGGTCACAAATCCATGGGAAAGGATTCACACCTTCCCCTGCCCCAGGCTGCTCCAAGCCCTGTCCAGCCTGGCCCTGGACACTTCCAGGGGTGGGACATCCATCCCAAGTCAGTCTGAGCCCCAATAATTCATAAAAGAATGGAAATCCCAAGGCTGATTTCTGCCTTTCCAGAGCAGGGAAGTGCAGCAGAGCTGTCAGGAGACAGAATCCATGTATCCCCAACAAGCAGCTGCCCAGGAAACCAAAGAGAACATTTGCAGCTCTGAGGGTTGGAGTGTGCAGGAAATCTGTGGAGAGATTCTGAATGGAGCACCTGAAAAGTGTCATGGAGGGAAATGGAGCCTGGAAATGTCACCAAGGGCTGGCAGACAGGAGAGGAAGCACCAGGGGGTGCTCAGATGTGGTGAGCAGTGAATGAGGATGGAAAAGGAAAACAGACTGATCAGGCACAGGGAAAAAAGAGAAATAACTCCACAAAAGAATGGCACTGAGAAGGAAATTAAACTGCAGACACAAAGGCTCAGCCTAGAGAGGAGGAATCAAGCAAGATAGATGCAGCTAGAGAAGTGGAAGTTATAAATCAGTTTTCTAAATAAAGAGAGGTGCTGAAAAGTGGCCAAGGCAGGAACTGACTGCAGAGAAAGGAGGAAAAGAAAGAACATTATGTCAGCTTTACCAGGCAAAGCAAAACAGCAGCTCCCCAAGAATATATAGTAACAGCAAATAAAATCACTGAAGTGGTGCAAAACAGCCAGAAAATACACCAAAATCAACAGCCAGCCTCTTACACAATGCACAGAAAGGAACAGAGGGGCTTGAATTCAATTTATGCCAACAAACATTGCTCTGGGTAGAGGTTTAGCACAGCTGATTTACTGGTTTTCAGATTTCTGTCTACTGTACTCTGATTTGATGGTAAAAAGCCTACATTTGATAAATTACTCTATTCACAATATTCTTTATAAAGTCTTGATAGGAATTACCTTTGCCCTCCATTTATAAGAGAACAAAGTGCACGTGCTGGAGTCACATTATTAACCATGGCCTTCAGTGCCTTGTCTACCTCTTCCCTTATAAAAGTGTTGGATTCCCCAGCTTTGTGCAAAAGGACTTTTACTGCATTATCTACTTCTTGATCCATGCTCTTTTTCAGGTGGGTGAACAAATCCCCTAAACAGACCACAGCAGCTCGAGAAACACCTGAGCGTAAATTCTTGACCTGCACACAGGAAAAACCCAAAAAACAATGAATAACGTTGATCAGAGAGACTTCAAAATAAATATTCATGTTTGCCATTTGTCATTTTAAGTAACATTACAAGCAACTGAGAAACACATTTCTAACTTGATTGACAATGGGTGAGAATTAAAATACACACTCATAAAAATGTTATAAAGTTAAAATCTACATTTTCTCAGCCTCTGAGTCTCAAATCATCCTTGAGACTGCTCAGTTGAGGAAAACTCACCAGAGGTGAGCATAAATCACTTCAGAGAGCTGTAAAATACATATTTACACACAGAGGGCCAGTGGAATATTCTGATAGGAAAATTTAACCTCTTGTGCCACAGCCAGAGTTGTTTCATGGAGCTTTGCAGTCAGAATAGGGGCATGGTAGGCAGACAAGCACCTGACAAAGTTCAGACCTTCAATTTTCTTCTCCCTGTGTGAAAAAATAATATTTAATTTCCATTCATTTGAAAAGTCTCATTAAAATATTCAAGTGTGGAGTTCTAAGGAATCAAATAGCAAACAAATAGGATGGCAAAATAAAGCAATGAGAAATAATCCCAGAATGGTTTGGGTTCAAAAGGACCTCAAAGCCCACC